TTACAGTGGTATACTTGGGTTTGGATTTAATTTTATTAATTATAGGATGCCAAGCAGATGGCAGCACCCATCCGTCTTCTTTATTGAAATTAGGATGTTTTTTTAATTTCGATAGCCTCGCGAATCATCCTTGGTAGGAATCGGTGTTCTTTTGCGAGGATTTGTGGTTCAACTATGACATAGGGACGTCAAACACCTCAGTCCCCTCTGTGACCATGCGTGCTGTAAAGCACCTGAAATGTCGGGAATTAAAAAGTTAAATTAAATGCGATAAAATCCGTAAAACTTAGTTCAATTTATCGTTTCTGTTTATTTTGGTTGTAATAAATTGTTGAATGGTACTGAACATTTGTGGCTGTAATTATTTTTAGTTTTTTTTTGTTCAAAGTTATATGTTAAAAAATTGTTCTGTAGTTTATTTCTAAAACCAGAAGATTATTTTTAGAATAAAATTTTTTTTTCCGCAAAAATCGATTATTTTTTAATAAAAAAATCGATTTTTCTTAAATCGATTATTATCACAAAGCAAAAATCGATTTTTCATTAATCAATTTTTTTCACTCAATGTCACATCCGTAATTAGTCCATGTCGCCATGTTGAAACTATATACAAAACGGCCCAGTACACGTTGGCCGAGCGCAATCGGCGAGCGCGCTCGGCCAACGTGTACTGGGCCGTTTTGTATATATTTGGCGTTTGCGGCCAACGCTCGCCGACGAGCCGTATAGTGTCGGTTTTCCGTGCACAAATCAAAGAAATTTGGCGCAAGCCGCAAACAGCGATCACACGTTGGCCGAGCGCGCTCGCCGATTGCGCTCGGCCAACGTGTACTGGGCCGTTTTGTATATATTTAGCGTTTGCGGCCAACGCTCGCCGACGAGCCGTATAGTGTCGGTTTGCCGACGGCTTAATAAAATTGTTTCAACATGGCGACATGGACTAATTACGGATGTGACATTGAGTGAAAAAAATCGATTAATGAAAAATCGATGTTTGCTTTGTGATAATAATCGATTTAAGAAAAATCGATTTTTTTATTAAAAAATAATCGATTTTTGCGGAAAAAAAAATTTTATTCTAAAAATAATCTTCTGGTTTTAGAAATAAACTACAGAACAATTTTTTAACATATAACTTTGAACAAAAAAAACTAAAAATAATTACAGCCACAAATGTTCAGTACCATTCAACAATTTATTACAACCAAAATAAACAGAAACGATAAATTGAACTAAGTTTTACGGATTTTATCGCATTTAATTTAACTTTTTAATTCCCGACATTTCAGGTGCTTTACAGCACGCATGGTCACAGAGGGGACTGAGGTGTTTGACGTCCCTATGTCATAGTTGAACCACAAATCCTCGCAAAAGAACACCGATTCCTACCAAGGATGATTCGCGAGGCTATCGAAATTAAAAAACATCCTAATTTCAATAAAGAAGACGGATGGGTGCTGCCATCTGCTTGGCATCCTATAATTAATAAAATTAAATCCAAACCCAAGTATACCACTGTAAGACTTCAAGATACTGTAAGCTCATTCTGCGTAGATCGGACCAAAAATTGATATTCAAAAACTGAATTTAGCCAGGCTAACTATGATATCTGGACGTCAAAGACCTCAGTTCCCCCCGTGACCATAAGTGCTGTGAAGCACCCGAAAGGTCAGGAATTAAAAAGTTAAATTAAGCGTGATCAAATCCGTAAAAATTAATTTCATTTAATATGTAGTCTTCGCGTAAATATAAGAAATCACTAAGAAACCATAATTTTAGTAAAGGATAGTTTTTTTTAAACTAAGATTCAACAAACAAAAAGTCTAAATATCATTATGCCACTAATGTTCAGTATCATTTACATTGGATTAGAATGAAAATAAAATAAAAATATAATTATAAATAATGTGACGACAACCTTTTGATCTCAAAACTAAAATACAAGACAAATCTTTTTTTTAAACTTGTGTAAACAAAAAAGTAAAAAAATATTGCCATGAATTTTCAGTTATAGACTTTAAAAACAATCATTTCACCAAAATTCTTCTTCGTCTCTTTCCCAAAATACGATTCCGTTTTTTCCTGACAATATTTCCCGCTTTCAAAAATAATCTTTCGGCTGGCGCGGAACTGGCCATCACTGAGAGGTGTTTAAATGCCAATTCGGTTAGTTTAGGGAAAGTTCCTCCAGAGCTTCTCCATATATTGAGGGCATCTGCCTTGAGATTTGATAGTGGTGCCGCAATATATAGATCCAATTTAGTATTTTTGCCTATTGACGTGTTGGCCGCTATCATTTTTTCATTATAAAATACTTCTGTCAGTCACTTTTACGCGTTTCACAAGACATTTTTATTGTTTATATATAATTGTTTACACTAACCAAAGAAAGAAAGAAAACCACAGAATACTTTTACTCCAAGCGGAGGAAGAAACCTCTTGAAAACATACGAAAAGCGAAACTGTTTTACATACATAGAGATACATAAAGGTGGCGCCGTCTTTTGATTGACTTATTCATGTTATTGAACTTACTTCACGTTTTTACATCCATCGCACAGATGACTCTGATTACAAAAATCGATTGAAACGCGTAATTTACATAAAAAACGATTTATTAAAAATCAATTTTCATTATAAAAAAAATCGACTTCGAAAAATCGATTATAAGAAAAAAAAAATCGATTAATATGAAAATCGATTATTTTTTCACATCCCTAGGACTAATGAGGAAATATTTATTTATTTATTTAACAGTTTATGTACACACATAATTCGATAGGAAAATGGTAAAAACATAATTATGTACAAAGGCACTGCCTATTCCATGATGAAATTTCTTCCAGCAGGCCTATTGAAGGATAGTTGAAGGAAATAGAGGTAGTCAAAGTGTGTACTTACATAAATATATATATACAATACAAATACACACACACACACACACACACACACACACACACACACACACATATATATATATATATATATTATATATTATGAAAAACTATATAATTCAATATAATATATTTTTAATGTTACTTATATGCATACCAACACATTACGATTTAATAATTATGGAGTGAAATATTGATTCATTGTTCATTGATTGATCCTCACAATGAATCAGTTATATGGAACCCCAAACATGAGCAACATAACAATAAAACCAGAGTAACTTGCCTAACTGCATACAATAATACATGTTTAGTTGCGATTTTAGAGTACCTACCTAATGATAAATATTATTATAAATTATCTTTGCGTTTATGTTGCTCAGGGATAATGTAGCCTAGGGGCTTCTTTTGGGCTATCTTTTATTTTGAAAAAACCCCCAGCGAAGCGGGCACGGGTCAGCTAGTAGATCCTATAAAGGTTTCTTTTTTCCTTTTGAGGTCGGAACCCTAAAAAGGACAAACTGGGATTATTGTTGTATGTGTAGTTTTTTTTTTCGTTCACTCTGAGAAGAGTGAAGCGCTGTATAAGTATATAACAGTGGCCGCGATTGCCCTAACGTCCATCATCATCTAGCTACCAACCATAGATAAGAGTGTATATACGGAAACTACCAACGCAGAATGAAACACGCCAACGTGTGAACGGCACCACGAAAATCTGCCGAGCGCACTCGCCAAGCGCGCTCGGCCAACGTGTACTGGAGCCATTACGCATGTAAGTCAAGATGTAGGTAGTATAGATGTGCCAACTCGGAACAATTACGACTCGAGTTAACTCGAATTGAAATTCACGCAACTCGAGTTGAAACTCGAGTTACACAACTCGATTTAGCAGTACGAAACAGAGTAAATGAATTGTTACAAATAACTTTTTTATTAATGTGTATTTCTATCTAGCTCTTTGATAGATTGGGATAACTATAATTATCAAATTTATTATGTAGGATTGAAATAAAAAGAGATATATATATATATATATATAGTATCACATATTTTTGGGTTTAATCTTATTTATAGTAATTACCTGCATTTAACAATAAAACTAGCTATATAGCAGTCTTCATGAAACAATATTAGCCTAATTTTAAGATATAGGTACGTAAGCTATTAATAGTTTAATTATCACAGTGAAAATATTCTTAAATAAATTCAAATTTTTACAATTTCATTTCCTTTGTATATAGAATAAGGATGACGAGCACACAGTCCACCTAATGGTAAGTGGATGCTGTGGCCCAAATATAGATGCGTTGTCACACCTGAGGACTGAGATGGAAAGCCTCGTTTCCAGTATAAAGGGTCTCCGGTTCCCTACATTCACCATTCGAAACACAGCAACATAAAACTGCTATTTTACGTTGGTATTCTGTGACAGCGTGGTCCTACAACGTTTGAGCCGACCCATTCGTTCTGCAACCACTATACCAAGTTATGCAAAATATTTATAGTAAGTTTAATGTTACATTTAGCGTATATGATGTATCTTACAACTTAACCAACCGTTTTGGGTATTAAAATAATAGGTCTGTGACTTACATAACTATACATAATTTAGCTGTTATAAAATTCTAAATAATATATTGTTTTGCTTGTAGCTAAATATTCTTTGAAACACAAAGCGCGCACGCAACGAATGAATCGCACGTTTACTCTTTTGCTGGCTCACTTGATCTAGCTTGCTATATATTTATTTATCTATGAATTGATCCGTTCATGTGCAGCAGCCCAACATCGAGTTAGGGATACCCAACTCGAAATAACTCGAGTTAAGCGCAACTCGAGTTAGTAACTCGAGTTGACGCATCACTACATGTAAGCACTAAACATCATATTAGTCTGTGGATGAAAATGAGAATGGCGGATGGCGTCAAGTTTGGAAAGTAGAAGCCCGAAGTTCTGGAATTGTTTTGTATTACTTTAACTTGCTTGTGCAAACCAATTGAACAGTCATTTAAAAATATTAAGTGCGTTTTGTCATTAAAATCTTTTTATAATATAATCTGTGACCAAACTAGAAATTGAACAAACTTTCGGTAGTGATAAATAATGGCTGAGTATTTAGCCGCTATATTCGGTACAGAAAAGGATAAGTAAGTGAAAAACATTCCCTTCTACAAACCTATTACTTATAGTGTAATATATCTGCATCAATAAACTTATATATTATATAGAACCTGATTCAATTTATTGTTTGTTATTATTCCGTTTCTAGACGTTTTCTTCGTAGGTTATAATTTCAACTTACACTTAAAACTTTTAGATAGAAGTTTGTAATGGATAGTGGTACTGATTATTTAACTGTAGTTTATTATTAGATTGGTATTGTTATTACCTTATTGCTATATTTTTTATAAGGTTTGAAATAACCATAATATACATCTTAACCTAAAAAAATACAATATTAATTTTTAACTTTTCAGAGTAAACTGCTCCTTTTATTTTAAAATAGGAGCATGTCGGCACGGAGATCGTTGTTCCCGCATACACAATAAACCTACATTTTCTCAGACGGTGTTATTGCAAAATCTTTATGTAAATCCTCAGAATTCTGCTAAATCTGCTGATGGCAGCCACTGTAAGTTGTAATGTTTATATCCTATTATATATTGAGCCATCTATGTTACACTCCTTACTATAATGTATGGTACCCTACTGTATTATGAGGCCTATTACTATCAAAATATCTTTTGATTCTATAAAATAGAATGTGTACACATGGTATGGTAGAATAAAAACTTTACTAATTGTTTTATATTAAATGACAGCAAGTATTTAATTTTGTTGACTAAGCCCACAAAATAAAAAACCCAATTTGTACACTTGTAAAATATGTGATTAAATATAAGAAAAACCGATATTTTGTACTTTTTTTAACCTACTATCTGAGTTACAGTTTGTTATTGATTTAGGTTTTTTTTTCTATAAACTTGTTATTGGCGAGACATAATACAAACAATTTGGGTTGACTTGATACTGGGATCAAGTCTCTCACCACATCTGTCTTATGTAGGTTTCAATTTGAAGTAAAACTTTTATTTTAGAGATAAAAGTAAAAGTGGGCAATAAACTGTATCCAATCTGTATTATATTTTCATAGATTTTATTTAATTTGGCCTAGACTTATTATATTTTAGATATTTTCTGTGATTTACACTTTATCAAAAAATTATTGCAATTGTACTTATTATCGAGATATAAACCAAGCAATCAAGGGTATTGGCTTTGTCAGTTGCTGTTTAGTTTTTGCTACAACTATATTATATATTTCATAGCATAATGCAGCTTAATGCTGCAGTATTTCATATAGTGAGTATTATCTACTACAGCCTATAAAAGTCCACTGCTGTGGTTGCCATCCGGCATGCCAACTGAATCATAAGGCCGTGTACCGACGACACGCACCCACTACGCACACATCATGTGAAATTCGTTGCATATAATTTGAGTCTTATGACAAATCAATAAATCTGAAATTGTATAAAAAGCACGGGCGCAAGGCGTTGTGGGTCAGGTGCAGCACATGTGCGGGGTGAGCGCGGGATCAGCGCGGATCGGGAACGAAGTGGGCGTGTGGCGTGTGTGAGGCGTTTGAGGTTGAACGTTGATAAATGTAATTTCAGACTTATTGATTTGTCATAAAGACTCAAATTATATGCAACAAATTTCAAAACGAGTTAGACGCTGTGAGTTAGGTGCTGACATGCGTAGCAGGTGCATGTCGTCGGAACGCGGCCTAATGAGTACTGTACTGGTAATTCTATCTTGGTCTTCTAGACAGCATTAACAATTTAATTCTTATTTGATGGTAAATGTACGTTTCTGTGGATCACAGCTCACTATCAGGAGGACAGTGTGCTTGCTTGTCACCCTCACTTCTATAAAAAGTGTTATAGAACTACTACTACTACAACTAATATTTTAAAACAAGTGTTAGCTCTTGCTAGGCCTTGAATCCAAGACCGGCTATTGTTGCATCACAGTATACAGACATTTACAGTACACATTGATGATAATTATTATCACATTAACAAAAGGATAGTAAATTAACAACTTTTAAGCTGAAAAAATGACATGTTTAAAAAGCCTATATAGATCCCACTGCTGGGCACAGGCCTCCACTCATTTCTGAAAGGGTTCTAATGCAAGGAAATGTGTTGATGAACTTCACGTCTTGAAAAAAAAATTTTCTTATTTCTGAGACGTAGGTTTCCTCACAGTGTTTTCCTACACTGCCGAGCATGTGATAAATCAGAACTTAAAATTGCAATTACCAATTTCATTGGTGCCAGTGGGGATCGAACCCAGGTTGCTTGTATACTGTGAAATTTCCTGTGAGCGCTTAGCCCTGAGCTACTACAGCTCTAGATTCTTTACTTCTTTGCATATAACTTATTGAGAAAATCAAGTAATTTCAATTTAGAAAGAAGGGTGTTGGTCAGCCATGATAATGATCCTCCCATGACCATAGATATATGGGTAAGCAAAGTATATATTGTTATATTATAATTATGCAGTTTGGATCTTCATAATTTAGCATAAATTTATAATATTCTGTCTTAAGAAAATGATACACACTTGCAATCATATTTATTTTAGGATTGTCAATCCTAAAATACATATGCAGAATGATGTATTTCACACTACAATAATTAAATATTAAGGTAGTGCATTAGAGTAATGCTTATAACTTAATAGTTATAAACTATTCCCTTTTTTTTATAGGATAAGGATGACAAACGAGTACACAGTGCACCTGATGGTAAGTGGTTGCTGTGGCCTATAGACATCTACATCTATCCTCGATTACAAACCAAAATGCAGATGTGTTGTCACCCACGAGGACTAAGATGGAATGCCTCATTTCCAATAAAAAGGGTCTCCGGTTCTCTACACGCACCATACAAAACACAGCAGCATTAAGCTGCAATTTTACGCTGGTATTCTGTGAGAGTGTAGTCCTGGGCGAGCCGATCCATTTGTACTACAACTATACTACTAATATAGTTGCAGCATGGCTCTACCACATAAAACATTCCCTGCTTAGTTTCTATGTAAGACATATTGTAATTTAGTGAATACTTCATAACTTACATCTTAGACCTCATTATACACCTCTTCGATAAAAAGAAGTTTTAAAAATCTTTGACTTGAAAATATCATTTTCTATTAAAGCTTTCCAAGCTACAAATGTACTATATATTATCACCCAGAATGGTGGTCAGCACCTTTCTCACCTCCACCATGTCTGTATACTTATGTATATTTGCATATATATTTGTTTGTAAGGTCACCTTTTATTTGGCCCATCTTCAATATATCATGGTCGATAAACTTCTAGGTCTAGGGCATCCCTAGCTAACTCTGCTATTAACTTCTGTAACATATACTTGTTTTGTAACTCTTTCTTCATTCATTCTTTCTACATGACCAAACCACAATCATTCCTTTCTACAACAGTTTCTTAAAAACCACACATCTCTAACCACACAATTTCTCACGCTGTCATTCAATCACCCCTAACATATTCCTTATTTACTACATTTCTACAGCATTTATATAATAAAATGGGATGACAAACAAGCATACAGTTTACCTGATTGTAAGTGGATGCTGTGGCCTATAGTCATCTACATTTATTTTCAATTAAGAATCAAAATGCAGATGAGTTGACAACCCTGAGGACTACGATGGAATGTCTCATTTCCAGTAAAAAGGTTCTCTACAATCACCATACGAAACACAGCAGCAATAAGCTGATATTTTACACTGGTATTCTGTGAAAGCATGGTCCTTCCCCGACCCATTCGTGCCACAGCCATAATATAGCAGCAGCGTGGCTCTACCACATTACAAATATGTTACGTATACCTGAAAGTTTAAATAAATCTAGTTTATTTAGTTCATTTCTCTTGCCTGACTATTTATGTCTTTACAGTGGTTGTAGCAAATGTCTCTGATGAAGAGATGCAGGAACACTATGATAACTTCTTTGAAGATGTATTTGTTGAATGTGAAGATAAGTATGGAGTTATTGAAGAAATGAATGTATGTGACAATTTGGGAGATCACTTAGTGGGCAATGTTTACATCAAGGTTAGTAGTATCCTTATATACTATTATAAATGCAAAAGTGTATTTGTTGGTTTGTCCTTTACTGTAAGTTCTTTTGTCTCTTCAGTATTACAAAAAAAAAGCTGTGCCAAGTGCAAAAAATAATACACAGTTAGGTTGTATTGAATCATGCCTGTAATTATTTTATCTATTCCGGTTTTAATTGTAACAGAGGCTTCTCAGTACATAAATTATATATTTTTAACATTCATCAACTCTGGCTAGAAGTGATAGTATTTTCTCTATCGCCTATACTCTTTGATTTTACTCTCAAATTGGCTCTCGTGCAAGTGAATCCATCCACCTGGTTTCAAACCATGGGTGCCATAATGGGCATGTCACGAAGATGTTCATGGATAGTTATTTTCATAGCTGAATTTTATTAAAGTAACATGGAATTACATATATTTGTTTATGAAAACTAACATTTCTTACAAATATTTTAATTAATTTATAACATTTTATAGTTCCGCCGCGAGGAGGATGCTGAGAAAGCTGTTAGTGACCTGAACAATCGTTGGTTTGGTGGTCGACCAGTTTATGCTGAATTGTCACCTGTGACGGATTTTCGTGAAGCTTGTTGCCGCCAATACGAGATGGGAGAGTGTACGAGAAGTGGTTTCTGCAATTTTATGCACCTCAAGCCCATCTCCAGGGAACTTCGGAGGTAACAAATGAGTAGAGTTTTTATTGTATTTATCATAAAATATTCACATTTGGAACTTATTGATAAAAGGAAATTATTTTGATTTACGTTAATTGTGTAATGTGTTATTAAGGTAACATTAAATTTTAAGATTCTTTATTCATCCATTAACTTATAAAAGCCAGCTGCACATAGGACTCCTCCATAAGGAGGGGACTGCCATATTCACTATGGTTGACCGCCCATGGTTGGTTATTTTATGTGATATTTGATCTTGATTTTTTTTTATACGATAAGGGTGACAAACGAGCACACAGTCCACCTGATGGTAAGTGGTTGCTGCGGCCCATAGACATCTACATCTATCCTCTATTACAAATCAAAATGTAGATGCGTTGTCACCCGTGAGGACTAAGATGGAATGCCTCATTTCCAGTAAAAAGGGCCTCCGGCCACCTGCACTCACCAAACGAAACGCACAGGTAAACCTCTACTTCACGCTGGTTTTCTGTAAGGTCGTGGTACCACCCCGGTTCGAGCCGGCCCATCCGTGCGACAGCAAAAGCTGCCGCGTGGCTCTACCACAGTTAAGATATTTTTTTTAATTAAGGAAGCTTGTAGGTTAATTTTAGAAAACACCAAGGGACAGAATAAGAAGCTCCCACCGGGCAATTAGATCAGCATGTGGAGTCGCCAACACTCCATGTGTGAGTACAGAAAATTTTATACAGTATTATTTTTCAGAGTAGCCAAATTTTAAATTTAAGTTCAAATATATATAAATAATGACATACTGTTATTGCAGTTTTTGAAAATACGAGTAAATAAGGCTTCTACTTTTATTGTTATTTATCCCAATCTGAATGTGATTTACGGGCAACAACAACGCTACGCGCGCTCCTCGGTGTGCGATGCAATTCGCGTTTTTGCCGACCAATTGACCTTTACGAACATACGTAGTAAAATAGTAGGCATTAGACATTTATGAAAGGCAATCAGTTTTTTTTAGTTTAGGGGTAACGTATTTAAAAAAAAAGGCAACCAGTTAAAATAATGCCATGCATTTTGAATTTCAAAGACAAAAAGAACAGAAGGTTTGAGATTTTTTTTTAATTAATTTTTCTTCACCTTTTGCCTATGTTACTTATTCTGAACCTTTTCTGCAAATTTGACAGGTTACTGCAAAATAACCCTGTATATACCACAGTACTTTGGAACTTTGGTAGCGCGATTTACTCTTTGGTGCGTTGTCCTTGTGGTGCGATGACAGTGCTGCCACAGGATGTTTTATGGGAATAGGCACAGATATCCTTTGCTGGAAAAGAAAGAAAGTTGTCTCATCGACCCACAGACAACAGATATGAGGAGACAGGCCTTTTGGGATCTTACTACTTTTTACATCTACTTGATGAATATGACAGAGCACAATCGCCTAATGTACTGACCATGTCATCATGGATGGCTTTTGATGATAGCCCCTTCTTATGGAGGTACTTAATGACGGCACGCTGCTCGATTTGCTCCATTCGCGGAAATTATGTCCGATTACTTTGTTAATAAATTTATAAAATCACAACTAATTATCGCACACGTTTCGAACTTCACACAATGAACTAGTCTGAACTGAACTAAATAATGTGTGTAGATTTGATTTTTAGAATTGAATGGATCTGTGTTAGGCCGAGTACTTTTCAATCCACCCTCGTATAACTTCAGATAAAAATTTAACGGAACCGAAATCGGAATCGAAGGTGCAAAATCAATCGGAAGTTCCGAATTTTCGGATTTGAAATCGAACCTCCGTAACATCTCTAGTACACAGTGTGCAAATTCACAAGACGTACAGATCTCCCCTTTTCAATTTCATGCCACTTGCACACTTACATTTGCACTTACTGGAAATCCACAAGTGTAGGATAATAATAAGATAAGTGACGGAATAGAGAGTGAAATTGTGTTTGCTTGTGCACTATAATCATAGAATTATTACGCATAGAAACGCAGTCTAGTACAAAACACGAGCGTTAATATGACGCAAGGTCATTATGTTAGTGGGCGCGAGTCGAATGTGCCTACGCTCGTCACACGCACACATACACGCCATTCAGTGATACCAGTTTCTGGCGTTTGCAATCAAATTGTGCAAATCACTATTTTTTATTACTAACATCATTTTATTATACATATTATATTAATGGTACAAAAATGCAGACGTAATAAAATTTAAGAATATTATTAAACACAATTAACTTGCTCGAATGCAATAAGCACATCGTGTAATGTTTAATTTTAGTTTATTTTTAGAGGGAGAGGGAGAGGGAGAGAGACACTTACCGTATGCAACGCAATCATACGCTTCCGACGCAACATCGTGTTGCGATTCTAGATCAGTGTGGGACGGCTCCGTGGCGCAGTGGCTTAGAAATCAGTTGTTGCGCTGGGGGCCGCGGGTTCGAATCTCGCACGGATCAAGTATTTGTATGGCCTACAAATAATTGTTCCGGGTCTGGATGTTTGTCCTTGTGCAATTTATGTTTGTAAACTGCCTCCACGACACAGGAGAAAATCCTAGTGTGGGGGTAACGTTTTTTTAAAAAAAATTCTAATTAAAAAAAAATCAAAAGGAGGGTAGAGGGGATGTTTGTACGCAATCCCACGTGTTATCCCACGTGTAATCCCACGTCTAGTGTGTTCCTAAACTTACGAGTAGCACGTGATAAACAAATAGACCTTTGCACCTTGCACGCGCTTTGTTGTCAAAATGAGAGATGAATAGCTCACCGATTTAATATGGTGATATGAATGTATATATAATATTAAACGTGTTTGATATCACGATGGTATGTTATGTAATACAGTATGGGAAGAGAAAATTATTAGGTAAACCTCGTGTACCTTCCTATAGTTCATTTCAAATAGGATGGCAGGATTCCACTTGAGACTTAGCAATTACAGCTGTAATGTTAATCTATTGTTGTGTGATTATTTTATTGCTTTAACACTTGAAGTTAAGCATCTGTTGATAATACTGAACCAGTATAGCTGGAATGACGAATTTTGGTACTTGAACATTAAAACAAATTAAATTGTAGGTAAAAAATCTTTAAAAAAAATTTTTGGAAGAATGTTTGTGACCATGTCATAAGAGTGGAAAACGAATTTTCGAGGGATCGGATACAACCATTTATAATAAATACGTGTGAGGACACAGATACCGATGAATGTTCTTCAGAGTGATTGATTAAACAAAATATTAACAAGTTGTTATAAGTATTTAAAATAGTTAAGTTAAAAGTAATAAAGGTTTTTTATCTACAATTTAATTTGTTTTAATGTTCAAGTACCAAAATTCGTCATTCCAGCTATACTGGTTCATTATTATCAACAGATGCTTAACTTCAAGTGTTAAAGCAATAAAATAATCACACAACAATAGATTAAACATTACAGCTGTAATTGCTAAGTCTCAAGTGGAATCCTGCCATCCTATTTGAAATGAACTATACCTACTGGTATCATTCTTGTTAATAATGTGAGAAGTCGAGGCGTGAAATTAATAAAGTAGTTTGCTGTATTTTCATCCCAGTTAAGAAGTGACAAGAGTGTCTGTCGCCAAACGTACGTTGCATAGTTACGTAGGTCAAGTGTGTACACCATCGTAGGAGTGTTGCAGCGCATTCATTGCATACGTGGGAAAAGTTTGTCCATACCTTAAATGAGTTGACAAAACAATGTGGTTATTTAGGCCCGTATTAATAAACGTTACTCAACGACGAACTGAAGTGCGTAATCATTTGATACGCCTTCATTACGATATCAGCATTTCAAGATCATAACATAACAGTATCTCAAAACGCTGTACTTAGGAATACTGTTCTGTGACTTGCACTCAAGTACACACACTTGAGAGTCGAGTTTCGTTTATTAATCAGTGTGGCACTCAGCTGATATCGTAAACCTAAACCGCATCTTGAGATATGTTTATTAATAAGATCATAACCTCAAGATTGTATTCAAGTGCGTGTACTTGAGCTGAGTAACGTTTAGTAATACGGGGCGTAGTGTTTGAAGTATGTAACGTTGTCGCAGGTACCTGTACTCGCGCGGCAAGAGCGGGCGGCGGTCGCGCAGCCGGTCGCGCGAGCGCCGGCGCCGCTCGCGCTCGCGGGAGCGCCGCCGCGAGCCGCCGCGCAACTCGCGCTCCGGCCGCTACTAGCGCCGCGCCCCGCTACTAACCGCCACTGCTCGCTACTGGTGGCTGCTACTAGTCGCTAGTGCTTGCTACTGCTCACTAAAGCAGTTACTATCCACTAGATAATACTGGTCGCTACTGGTCGCTGTAGCCGCTAATTGTCACTAGTAGTCGCTAGTAGTCACTACTGGCTGTTACTAGTCACTAATTTCCAATACTAGTGTTTACTAGCCGCTTTTGGCCGCCAATAGTCACTACTGGACGCGACTAGTTGCTACTAAACATTACTGGCCGCCACTATGCGTTGATTTTTAATTCGATTCAGTAATTCGACAACATTTTTATTTTATTTAAAAAATGATACTGTATTTTATCAAAAGTACCTAATAAATAACTCAACTTCCATGTACATTTTTACAATTTATGATAGAGTATATATTTTATATTAGCGCTGTGAGTATCATAGGAAACCATAGCTTTAAATGACTATGTTGAAGTAATATTTTGTATCATATCAATTCCATTTATTAATGATAATGTATTAATATGTATGTCAGTAAGAATCAGTACATGATGGATTTTTCACATCGCAATCTTTATTTTGTCAAAAAAGTAACTAAACTATGTCAATGATATGTCATTTTACTAAATCGAAATAAAAGTGAAAATCGCAGTATTGACACTACTAATTGCAAGTGTACATTTCTAGTGGTCACTAGTTGCCAGCGGTCTCTACGAGCCTCTACTGGCTGTCATTAGCTGCCACCAGCTACTACTGGCCGCCACCGGTGATGTACTACATAGCGCTACTCTTGTTACTGTTCCATATATGATCAAACGTAACAAAGTACAAGTAATACATGTACCATGATAATGGTCAATGTATATTTTCCATAGTACTTGTATATAAATGACACATGTAAGTTGTTAAAAATTAGGTGATAATGTTAATTTTTTTAACATTTTTAGTTGGCCTTTGGGCTATGAAGTGTTTATAATAGACTAACTTCACCACTTAAAGATCCTTAAATTATTAAAAATAAAATTAAACAATGTAGGGAATAAAAAAATTGAGAATTTATTGTACTTGGTAGTTTAGTTAAGTCATTGAAACAAATTCTTAATTAACTATACCCAGTATTTGACATTGTATTTTAAACAAATATAATTATACGAAATCCAGGAATGTTGTGCTATGCACATTATATTTGTATTACGTAACTATGATCATGCCAGATAAGCCGGGCCAAATGCTAATGCGCAGAAACTTTACTCAACTCTGAGATGCAGGAATGGCATAATTTAAAATGGTTAAGCAATTTACAATACTTAATATTCCACTACTAGGTACAGGGCTCCTCTTATTTCTAAGAGGGTTATGGGCAATAAGTCCGCCGCGCTTCTACAAATGCATGTTGGCGAATTTCAGATGTCCTCGAAATTTTTAATTTCTCAGATACGCAGGTTTCCATACGATGTCTTGCTTCACCGCCGAGTACGTGGTAAATCAGTACTTAAAAATCAACAATTTCATTGGTAATTTAATAAATAATTATACATAAATTAGCTTTTTACGGATTCTAAAATTTCCAAACATGTGCGATTAGTCGTAGCTAGTGGCGCGATAAGTGATGGGTACTCATGGCAGGGGACTTACTCAGTCGCCATTGAAGCATACCTATCGACGCTTGTTGTTTCGAAACATTTGGGAAAAAACCCTGTTATAAATATTAAAGTGAAGGAAATAATATTTAGGAAATGCAAAAGGATAATAGTAGGCCAAACAGTAGTACGTTACCAATCGGCGCAGGAACCAAACAAACAGTTAACCGCAATACACCTGCACTTATCAACTCGACGCGAGCTCACAGGTATATTCACAGATTAACAATATATTTTTGCAGTATGTACAAGTCAAACTAAGTAAACTAAATATACAATTAAAGATATATCAGTAACAATTGTGGCGCTATAGCAGTATTCAAAATATATTTCTAAGAAATTGAGGTTTAAATATATAATTATAAGCATACATTCCTTTTTTTATTTTAAAATACCTTTCTTCTACATTTATTTTTACATAAACATAGTGCCGTGTGATGGGAGAGAAAGAGAATCCAACAATTTCGTTCCCTGAGCGTCGCACTGTCGTAAGAGGTGACTATCGGGAAGAATAACGATCTTTCCCTTTCCGCCTGTGGTAAAATACTATAGCAGCGACGGGTGAGCAGTGTCAAGGTGCCAGACCTCTGCTACGATCGGATTTCTGCCAGACAAACGTGTCGATTAGAACAAATCTTACCTGCAACGGGAGAAACTGGTGTCCAGATGCGAACTTTGACCCAATGATGAAGAAGACAGTTTTTTTTTTGAAAAAAAAAATTAAAGTTCTTAAAAATTCTTTTTCTACGATCCTTCACAAGTTTACCGCTGAACATAGGCCTCCCTAATGCGCTGCGCAAACCTAAACACTTGTATCTTGTGTGGGATACAAGCTACCAATGAATATTTTATTTTCTTGTAATCAATATGAAATCAGCCATTCTTTGCGCAAACGCAGACACTTTGTGTCCAGTTGCTTCCACTTGACATACCGACTGCCAATCAAAAGGTGTTCGGTGTAGGTAACTGTAAACTAAGTCGTAAGTTGAAGACAAGCAACACAAAGCAAATTTTCTTTCAATTGTACGGCGCTGACATTGACGTGGTTGATTTGACTGTAAATATTGACGGCGACGACGTCTATGTCAACGTGTAATCAATATAACAAGCAAAGGTAATGTTCCTCCATCGACATCCGAGGTGAAACTGACGGAAAACATGCAACGAATTGTTACCAGTGCAGTGACCAGAAGTAGCAACCGGCGACTGTGTCCGATTGCCGCTACTGGACACAGCAACTACGGTTTACTATGATGGTGCGCCCCGATGGTGACCCCGCCACTACACGGTTGTAGATATCAAATAATATGTCTATCAAATCAAATCCTCGCACGATAACTGGATAGTAGGTAACACATTTTGCATAGGTAGCTGTCACGATCTGCATATTGCATGACTGCAGTTTCTTTACAGTTAACTTGGCACTATTATGATTTCAATAGTGTTTTGTCTGCTGGTCGATAGGCCTTAAGATGAACATAGATGAGACGACGATTATAATATCCCAGCGGGTCAGTAAGCTACAGTGGCAATGGCCTGACCAAAATAGCTCGAATAACTCACAACAGATGGTGAAAAAAGATTTTCGAGTGGCAGCCTCGTACCCCGTAGGCAAAGTGTATGGGAGAACTCCTACCGCATAGAGTGACGGTCTGATAAGAGATGCAAGAAGTAGATGTGGTCAGAGGGTGCTCGGATGGTGTGAGGTGTACAAGTGTCGTTCTGTTTTTGGCTATTTCGTACTTCTGAGAGCTGTCGATTTACTTTTTTGTTTATTATTTCTGTTGGTGTTGGTTTTAGTAGTTATAAATCCGTAAGTATTTAGTAATTGTGTTGTTGTATATGTAATTAGTTAAAATAAAATGGAGGAAGATCCTCCGGATCCCGACGGGGTTCCATGTGACTCCCATACGGTTACCAAAAAAAAAATATGCCTATCGAGATTGATCAGTCGAAGCGTAAAAGATCCAAGCAACCAATAACTCTGTTCATCCACAGAAAAGATTAATTACAGATCCATCTCAACCTGTACCATCTATTCAGACCTCGTATACCCATCCTGAATACATAGAAAAAAAAACATAAACACTCTAATAACGACAGTGCGCCGTTTATTGTACATGTAAGTAAGAGAGTAGATGATTTATCATCTGGAGTAGTTTTAAAACCGATAAAGTTTGGTCATTTTCTCTACCATAATAATATTAAAAATGTTGTTAGCGACGGTGTTAAGCGAGTAGGACGCAATAGAATTTCAGTCGAATTTGAAAGTGCAGCTGATGCAAATTGCTTTATTGAGAACCCAGCCCTTGCAGGTGCTAAATATGATACCGTAATCCCTTCTTATAATATCACTCACATGGGAATAGTGAGGCAGGTCCCTGTAGAATGGACATTAGAGGAACTCATTTCATCAATTGAGGTCCCAGCTGGTTTTGGCTCAATCATTAAAGCTCGCCGATTTAATAGAAAATCAGTAAATGAAAACCAAAGCACTGTGTGGATTCCCTCTCAAACAATCCTTTTAACTTTTCCGGCCAGAAACATCCTTCTAACATTTATTGCTTTTACACCTCAATGCCTGTTGAGCCCTACATTTTACCACTTATTCAATGTCACAAATGTTGCCGTTTTGGACACGTTACCTCACAGTGTAGGTCATCTTCCCGTTTTTTTGTGTGTGCTCAAAATCACGAGGGCATATCATGCACAAGACAGTCTTCCACTTGCCTTTTTTGTTCAGGATCTCACACAGCTAAAGATCCTTCCTGCCCTGAATACTAGGCAGAGATCTATCAAACTTACAATGTCACAGGAAAATATTTCCTATCTAGAAGCATCTGCCCGTTTTCCTCAAGTCCGTAGATCTTACGTAGATACTGATAGAACCCTTCCTTCGTATGATCATCAGAGTCCCTATCCTATTTCAAATCCCCCTTTACCTTCAGTTGTCCCCTCACAATCTCATTCTTACAGGAAGACTACATTCACTCCAAGACTTCCGCCAAATCCAGCATCAAGTCATGGATATGATAAATCTGCCCATGAGGCAATAATAGATACCCCTTCTTCTTCATTAACTAATGGTTGTGCTTTAATAGGGCGGAGTATTTCCCCTAATGACAATCTCTGCGAATCAATGGTCTCCATGCTTATAAGTATACTTTCCCGTATCAGCGATATGGATCTCCCACTTGCCCTCTGCCAAAAACTTACTGAGCTCATTTCCTTAACGAATAACCTTCCCTCCAATACTTCAGTGGAACTGCCGGAGCATTAAAAATAAAAAAAAACGAACTACTACTTACCTTATTAATAAATACCATCCCCTCATCCTAGCCATCCAAGAGACATGGCTAAAG